CACCAGCTCCAACTGGGAGACCATCCTTCCCATAGGGAGATCCAAATCCCCCTGCACCAGCACCAGCACCAACACCTGCTCCAAGTGGCCGACCATCTGGGCCATACAAAGCCTCTCCAAGTCCTCCTACACCAGTTCCACCAGCTCCAGCTGGGAGACCATCCTTCCCATAGGGAGATCCAAATCTCCCTGCACCACCACCAGCAACAACACCTGCTCCAAGTGGCCGACCATCATACAAAGCCTCCCCAAATCCTCCTGTACCACCAGTACCTGCTCCAGCTGGGAGACCATCCTTTCCATAGGGAGCTCCAAATCCCCCTGCACCAGCACCAGCACCAACACCTGCCCCAAGTGGCCGACCATCTGGGCCATACAAAGCCTCTCCAAAACCTCCTGCACCAGCACCACCAGCCCCAGCTGGGAGACCATCCTTCCCATAGAGAGATCCAAGTTCCCCTGCACTACCAGCCCCACCAGCACCTGCTCCAATTGGAAGACCATCTTTCCCATAGGGAGCTCCAAGTCCCCCTGCACCAACACCCCCAAAACCAGAGCCAGCTGGGAGACCATCCTTTCCATAGGGAGACCCAAATCCCCCTGCACCAACTCCACCAGCACCTGCTCCCAGTGCCTGGCCATCTGGACCATACAAAACCTCCATTTCTCCTGTGGAATTGCCACCTCTACCAGGTGTAGCTCCATCTCCACCTGGAAGGCCTCCTGGCCCATACAATGAGCCAGATCTTCCTGTCTGCCCTAACTGACCACTGGCATGAGGTGTCAGACCATCCTTGCCATAGGGAGTCCCTGTTTGTCCCTCTCTGTTTATACCTGCTCCATTCATATCACCCACAGTGGCATGCCCATCCTTGCCATGGTGGAACCTCATTCCTCCTGCCATTCCAGCACTTGCAGCATTCCCCCCAGCTCCAGTTCCTGGACCAGTCCTGCTGAACAGATCACCCACACTGGCTCCCACTCCAGCTGAATCAGGATCAAGCCCATCTGGCACAGAACTTCCACCACCCAACCTCCCAGCACCCCCAAAACCAGCTCTGTAACTGGCATCACCTAAATTCCCATCCTTGTCACGCTGAGAGCCCAAACCTTCTCCATCACCCATGTCAATGTCAACAGCACTCAGCAAACCTTCACCTCTGCCATCTACAGAATTCCGTTCACCTGCCCGTCCTCCTGCACCACCAGGACCTGCAGTGCCTGACACAGAGTCCATGCCATGGACAGCCCTTAACCCACTTCTGCCCCCTTTCAGTCCAAAGATGCTGCCATCATTGGCTGCTGAGTCTCCATCTAGACCTGCTCCAGAAAACTGCCCAGACCCCATCTCTCCATTCATGTGGGTTTTGCGTAGCCCTTCTTTTCCCAAAAAAATTTGGCTTCCATCTCCAGAATCAAGGGAGTGTGCTTGGCCCCTGCCTTGACTGCTGCCTTGATCTGTTCTGCGCCAGCCACTTTTCTCCCCAGCAGAGGATGTGGAGAAGGAAGCACGCTCTTCAGCAGCAGCTTGCTCCTGGCGCCGAAGCTTCCTCGCCCTTTCGTTGTCTGCCATTGTTTCTTTCAGCCACTCAGATGTCTCCCTTACAATCTTTTCTTCTTCATCCTGACTCCTCTTTCCTTTGGCATCTGAAGTTGCATTGTTCCATGGCAGCAGATTTACAATACACAGAAAAAGAGGGGAACAAAATAACAGAAAATCAATAGGACATGCACTGCATCAAGAACCAAAGAAAATGTGTTAGCACTTTTTGAATTTCATTTTAGGACACACACACACAATACATTTAAATAAATTTTAAATAATTTCAAATCCTGAATTTTTCAATGCTACATTGAGACAATGAAATGTTAGTTAAAGACAATTATTTTTAGTTAAAACACATTGTTTTTTAATGGAAACATGCTTATTATAACAAACAAACCAACCAACCAAAAATAACAGAAAAAGAGACTTCCAGCATGGCAGGTCTGATTTAGAGGGGCTGAGATTGTATGTGGGATTCATTAATTCCATCTGCCTTCACCTTCCAGATATGGAGGAGTTACAGAATATTCCATGCACAGAGGAGCCATCAGTTCCCACCCTGGAACTGGGATTTCACTGCTCTGGAGGCAGCTTGCACATGTGAATAATGGCTGGTTTAGGGATGCCCAACATGAGGACTAGAGCTTTCAGATATGTGAATAGCTTTGGATTAATCTGAAATTCAGGCTGTTCTGAGAGCAGGTCACTCACTGCTTTGGTTTCCAGGTCAGATATAATTTATGAGAGCTCACTGAAATCCACAGGAAGTTTCTTTGTTTCAGAAACCTACATTGCTTTGGAGAGGCCTTTGTGAGAGAGACCCCTCCTGCTGCTGCAGGGGGATCCCAAAGGAAACCAGAGTCAAAGGGAAGCAAAGGAACCACCCTTCATAACAAACAAATATATACCAGGTGACTGTCAATGTGCCTGCACTCTGTTCCCACCTTTCCAGATTCCTCTGAGCTCCTTCCAGCATGTTTAACTATAACTGGGAATGAAAAATATTATCTAACAAGAAGAATGGCATCGATAGTGTAGAACTGAGAGTATCAAAAGCTCCCTGAGCCCCTGCCTGCTGCACTGTGATCCCTGGGACAGCTTCCTCAAAAACATGCGGGGAGATGGGGAGCGTTTTTCCAATAACTCATGGAGAATGTTCTACTTCATCATAGCTGTAGAGCAAGCAAGCCAATAGGATTAGCCAGGACTAATTAAAAGGGGAAAAGTTGGTCTCATTTAAAGAGGAAAGAGGATCTAACCAGCCATTCATTTTTCCAAACAGGATTTAGAGTCATGGAATCACAAAATGGTTTGGATGGGAAGGGAGCTTGACTCATCCCATTCCATTCCCTGCCATAGACACCTTCCACTGTCCCAGGCTGCTCCAAGCCCCATCCAGCCTGGCCTTAGACACTTCCAGGGATGGGGCAACCACAACCTCTCTGGGCACCCTGGCCAGGGCCTCCTCACCCTCTCAGCCAAGAATTCCTTCTCATTATCCCATCTAACCCTGTCCTCAGGCAGTGGGAAACTATTCCCCCTTGTCCTGTCCCTGCATCCCTCCATCAGGGAGATGTTCCTGTGTAGTTCTGGATCCCCTTTAGGCCCTGGAAAGGGCTCCAAGGTGTCCCTGGACCCTCGTTTTCTCCCCACTGAACACCCCCAGTTTTCTCAGCCATGATTTCGGAATTAGAGGTTCAGCAATTCATTTCCCAGCAGAGCAACATCTCCCTGAGCCATCATGCAGTGAGAAGAATGTTTTGTGCCAGCACACCACGGGAACACCCCGCTGCCAAGCACTCACACTCCACGAGGAGCCAGGCGCTGGAGGAGCCCTGTCCCGCGTCGAGCGTGTACAGGCCACTGTCCGAGGGCCCCACGTTCCTCACGGTCAGCTTGTGGCTCAGGCCATCGGGTGTCACAGATATCTGGTGCTTGTCGCTGGCCTGGAGGGGGCGGCTTTTGTGCAGCCACAGGGGCTGGTGGCAGGGCGTGCACAGCACACACTGGAACTCGGCGTCGCCGGCCTCGGCACAGCGCACGTCGGAGAGCGGCTGCCGGAACCGCGCCGGGATGGCTGCAGGGAAACCGAGAGCTATGGGAAGGAAACAGCTCCTGTGCTCCAGGACAACTGTTACAGCTGATGGAGGAAACAACGGGAAGTTGTGGTGCCTCTGAGCATCGGGTTACTGAGAAAAAGGAAAAGCTCAGATGTGCTTCTGTGCCCAATTCTGCAGAAAAGCAGAAAAGTAGATTTTTGTCTTTATTATCTTCTGAGACATTTGTACCTCACAGCATGGATGTATTGCCAGTCTGTTATAGTAGTAGTAAAATATCTGTATTGTATTTGAATATCTGTATATAGGCCTTTGAATATCTGTATATATACCTGTAACTGGCCCTGATAAGCCCCAGTTGTTCTAAATGGGCTGCAGCTGTGATGTCCTTAATTGGGTGGCAGCTGTGATAAAAGGGGGTGGGCTTGACCAGTCAGGGAGAGCCTGGAAGGAGCTCTGATGAAGAAGCAGTGACAAGCAGAAGAAGTCTGTGCTGTGAAGAACTGCCCCCCCCCCCCCCCCAAGAAATATCACCAAGAATGTACAGGACTTTAGAAATATGATTGCAACAGTATGGGACTCTAGAAATATGAATACAACAGTCTGTAGTCTTTGATGTGTTCCTGCAGTACAATACTTGGATTGAGTTTGTTGTTATTATTCTGAGCTCACGGAAGCAAACTGTAATGTGGGGTAGGTTAAGGAGCGTGCTCACTGTCACCCACAGCCACACTGGTGCTCGAGGTTAGGCCTGCTCCCTGGGACTGCAGATGCAGCACCTAAAGCATTTAATCACCCTCCTGCTCCTTTTCACCTGTGCCAGACAAGGAGCCCTTACTGGGCCCAAAAAAACTTTTGTCACAGTTGCACACCAAAACCATCAAACCGAATTCCTTACCTTGAGCATCCAGTTCTGTTGAGAAGACAGGGACGTCCTCCACCCTGACCTGGTAGACGCCCGCGTCCTCGGGCTGCACGTCGTTGATGGTGAAGCAGTAGCGCCTGCCCACCCGCCGCAGGCCGTGCTTCCTGTACTCGTCCCCGGTGCCGTAGCGCAGCCGCTCGCCGTCCTGGCAGGGAGGGCAGGAGGGAGCAGTGTCCACAGAGGCTCAGACAGTGCCAGGCATCTCAAACACATCAGGACAGGCTGGTGCTACCATCCCCTTGTTGATATAAATGAGTAACCTCACAGTGCCCGGGGCTCTTTGCAGTACACAGGCACTGTCTGGGCAGTGAATCCTGCAGTGAGGAGGGCACCAGGCTCTGAAACTCAGCAGAACAGCAGCTCTTGGCTACCCACATAAGGGTCTGAAGCTTAATTAATACACAGTTCTTGCAGCTACCAAGACAAAGCACTTTCTAGTCTAGATTTCAGCATCCTCATAGCTGGATGAGCAGGAGAGTTCATCACTTTCTGTAGCACACTTGGGTTACATTGTCCAAATTGTGGCTCATCGACTTCATGTCATATATTTGATCCAGAAGATTCATAGTTAGTCTGCCCTCTCCCTCAGGGCATTCTGATTTCCCCTGGATTAAAGCCTCTAACCACAATTTGACTAAAAATTATCTTTCAGAAAAACACACTTAGCACTGAGCACCTGCAGATTCCATCTGTGGGACTATGGATCTAGAGAGGGAATGTTTTACATCTCTGAGATCTTCCAAAGAGGGAGTTATAGTGCAATAACATGCAATAACACACTTGAGAAAGTGAATAAAATTTATATGAAATTGCAGAATTTCTGCAGACTGAAAGACACTGTTGGGGTGATGGTCTTAAACTGAAGGAGGGTCAGGTTAGATATAACAAAATGGGTGGGGAGGCCCTGGCACAGGTTGCCCAGAGAAGCTGTGGCTGCTCCATCCCTGGAAGTGTTGGACAGGGCATGGAGCAACCTGGGCTAGTGGAAGGTGTCCCTTTTGAATGTTTTAAGGTCTCTTGACCTTTAAAAGGTCCCTTCCAACTCAGCTGTTCTATGAATTTCCTGAAGACACAAGGATGTCAGTAACTGACTGCATGCTCTGTACTTGGATCTACAAATCCACAGGGATATCCACCACCAAAGGTCACCCCACACCCACAGTGCTCCCTAAACAAGCAGGCATCTGCAAAAGACAAACAACCTTAAGGCATTTATTTACTCTCAGCCACTGCCTAGCAGATGAAGCCTTTTCTGTAGAACACTGGAGGGGCTGCTCTGAGCTGCTGCTGCCCCACTCATCCCCCTCACCTTGAGCAGGTAAACGTTGCTGTTGCTGTTTTTCAGCTCCATCTCCAGGCTGAAGGTAGCATTTCCCTCCTTGTTGACTCTGATGTGTTCAAAGTTTTTGAGACTGTGAACTAACTGCAAAGAAATATTGAAGAACCTAGTAAGTGGTAAAGCTGCCATGGCAAAGGTTCTGAAGCTGTTGAATTAACGTGAAATCTACTTTAAAGAGCTACTTCTAACATTATGTAGCAGAAGTATCTGTAAGTAACAGTTCTGGTACAGTGAGTTGCAGTGTCTGTAAGTTGCCACAGTTTCTTCCTGTGTATAAATTATTTTTTATGTGTTGCCTCCTGGTCACTCCCACACTGTCCATCCAGGTCTCTACATGCCCCTGTATGTGATGGCCAATTTTTACTTTTGGACATATAATTTTTAATTTGGCATCCAAATTCTCATCAGAGACAACTGAATAACCCTGTGGTCAGTATCTCCTAAAATCTGTGAACTGAACTTCATAAAATTCATTAGCATTTTTGCCTGCATGAGTAAAAGAAGTGGAACTTCTTTAAAATATTGTCATAAATCACTGTCATATAACAAAATTTTCATCTCCAAAGCAATTTAGGAAAATATAGCCTGTTTTCAGAAGCTTCAATTTCTTAAAAATGAGTGGTTTCAGTTTATTTACCTTGTCTTGTTCACTCTCCGTTTCTTTCCTCATCTCCTGCAGCTTCCTCAGCATCCCACGGAAGTCAGCAATTCCATATTTTATACAGATTTTCTCATAATCTCTCCTATCTGCATTCAGCAGCAGCTGCCACACAGCTTCTTTGTCCAGGGGCTTTGGTTTTGGTGCTGCAGCCCTGAGAACCAGGGGGGAACCATTCAGACATTTTCACAGACAACAAGATGTCCTGTTTTTCTATCCCTAATTCTCTTTCATCTCCATCATTCCTGTAGTCCACTTGGCCCTGTAGGTGCAGGCAGGAAAGACTGGGACACTTCCAGAGCAGGTTTTCTGCATCTGTACTACAAATTAAATGGTGCCAGAGAACAGCTTCCACCCTGCTGAGTTATCACCAGAGGGTCTGGCACAGTTTGGCCCAGGCCAGGTAACTGCCTAGTACAGCTCAGGATTCTCACAGAGATCATTATCAGCAGGCAATGCTTCGAGCTTCCCACCTGGGGAGGGAAGGGAAGGGAAGGGAAGGGAAGGGAAGTGCAGTGCAGCCTCTGGATAAGGGAAAAGAA